TCATTTTGTTATTACACCATTCAAACCTGTGTGACTTTCAGGTCCTCATACAAAGCTGGTAACTTGCTCCAGGGGTCACAATCAAATCCCCAGGTGCTCTGGGCTGTGTGCCAGGGTCTCTGAGCCCCCTGATGGACCCCTCAGCAACTCTGGGCACCCAGAGGGATGCACTGAGCTCTGACAATAAAGGTTTATTAAACCCTAGCAAAAAATACAACAAAAGGACTAAATAAGGAAAAATTAATGCTGGGAGCCCCTGTGACCATCAGCTGTGTGCTCCTCCTGAAGACGGATGCTCTGCCTTCTGTACTTGTAGCTCCTCTAAAGTCCTGTCAGTCAGCTCCTCCCTCACTGTCCAGTGTCAGAATTCAGAGCATCCTGCAGGTGTTCAGAGTTGCCAAGGACCCCGTCAGGGGGCTCAGAGACCCTAGCATGCAACTCAGAACACCTGGGGATTTGATTGTGACCCCTGGAGAAAATTACCAGCTTTGTATGAAGACCTGAAAGTCACACAGGTTTGAATGGTGTAATAACAAAATGATCACAGGGTGAAAATGTAGATTTTAGGATTTTTGGTATGGGGGTTATGGGGACAAGATGGAAGAATTTGGATGTGTCCAGCCTTTCTTCTTCTTCTTCTTCTTCTTCTTTTTCTCCATTTTCTGCAGTGATGTTGGCACTTTGGGATTGGTTTAGAGTAGAAGTGCACTGTCTAACATAAGTGATAGGTATTGGGAATTAAGTGTAAATATGTTATATGTAGTTTGTAGTATAAAAGGACAACACAGAGAGTGCCTGTGGCTGCCCTGCAGAGCAGATCTTGGCTGGGTAGAAAGAAAATTTTATAGATAAGAATAAACAACCTCAAGACCCAAAAGTGAAGAGTCCGGACTCGTTCTTCAGTTGCATGGGCCATAGCAGAGACATCCTGCACATCTCAGGGCAGCAATTAACAACCAAAAACCCGAGAGTCCAGGGGTGCAGATCACTTTCCTACACCTTGATCAGAGCTCANGCAGGTCCCCCACACTGCCTGGCGAGGCCAGGAGGGGCAGGGGGGCGTCCCAGCTGCCCCCACACTCACTTGCTGTCCAGCAGGTCCATGATGGGCTGCAGGACGTTGTCGGCATCCTGTGCCACGCTGCTGCAGGTGCTGGCGGGGACGTTGCCGGTGCCCTTCACCTGGCTCAGGATGTCACCCATCTGCTTCACACACTCCTCGATGTGGGGCTGGAAACTGGGCACCACAACACACAGGCAGCTCAGCATAGCCCCCCAGAGCCCCTGGACACAGCTTCTGGACCCCCAGAGCTCTCCTTTGCCCACTGCCCCTTCACCCAGCTGTACCTGGTGGCAAACACTCGGCTCAGATCATCCAGGACATTGTTAAGCTTCACCTGCAGCTCCTTGAGGATATCACTGGCTTCTGTGTCCAGCTGCAGGAGGAACAGGTTGTTGAAGCTGACAGAGCTCCTGAACCAGCCCTCAGGGAAGTTTCTGCACCCCAAATGCATCCCTGGGCAAGGTGAAGCCCTTCCCAGTCCAATATGGTGGGAGAGCAGGGTGCCATGGGGTTGGGACAGTGTGACCCCACACAGGAATGAGGAGGGGTCTGCTCCCAGCACTGGGGAACTGGGCAAGGGGCTACTCAGGGGAGAAGGGAATGATCCAACCCCCACAGGGCTCCCTCCTGGAACCCCCCCATACTCACATCCTTCCCACCCATGGCTTCAAACATCTTCTCAAGCTGGACACGGAGCTGCTGGATGTTGTTCATCAGGATGCAGGGCTGGAGGGGTGGATGGAGAGGGGGGTCAGCACCAATAAATATGGCTGGGACAGCTGCCCACAGCCCCAGAACCCTCCCACTTTGCACTGGGGGATATGAGGACAGGGATGGCACAGAGGCCACCCTGGCAGCGTGTCAGGAACTGCCATCAGGAAGGGACTGACCCACCCTGGGGTTGGGGTGACACGTGGGGACAGCAAAAAGGAGATACATCACCACTTTCTCCTTCTCCTTGGAGCAGTAGGAGGCAAAATCCTTGGAGATGATCTCAGCATACTGGAGCAGCACATTGCTGATGGTCTGCAGCCAAACAGGGCACCAAGGAAGACACCCACACAGCAACAAAGGGTAAGGAGGGAGAGAAGGAAACCATGAATCCAACAGCAGTGAAACAACCTCATGTCTGGATATATACAGGCAGCCTCAGACCCTCTGGCCTCATGGATCACGAAATCATGGAATTATTAGGGTTGGAAAAGCCATATAAATTCAAGTCCAACCATCACCTCAGCACCACCACCATGTTCACCACTAAACCATATCCTCAAGTGCCACATCCACATGTTTTTTAAACACTTCCAAGGATGGGGACTTCACTGCTGCCCTGGGCAGCCTGTGCCAGGGCTGGACAAACCTTTCAGGGAAGAAATTTTACCAACGTCCAACCCAAATTTCCCCTGGCACAACTTGTGGCCATTTCCTCTCCTCCTGTCCCTGTTCCCTGGGAGCAGAGCCCAATCACCCCAGCTGTCCCCTCCTGTCAGGAGTTGTGCAGAGCCAGAAGGTCCCCTCTGAGCCTCCCCAGCTCCCTCAGCCTTTTCTGGTGCTCCAGATCCATCCCCAGCTCTGTTCCCTTCTCTGGACACGCTTCAGCCCCTCACTGTCCTTCTTGTAATGAGGAGCCCAAACTGACCCCAGGATTTGAGATGGGGGCTCAGCAGTGCCCAGCACAGGGGGCAGTCACTGCCCTGGTCCTGCTGGGCACACCACTGCTGGTACAGACCAGGTGCCATTGGCCTCCTTGCCCACATGGGCACACCTGGCTCATGTTCACTGGAAGCCAGATGAAGCACAACTGGTCTCCATGTGCTGCTCCAGCACAGCTGCGAAGGCAACAGCCACCAAGCCTGCATGCAACTCCCTCCTATATTGCAGCAAGCCAGTTTTAATTAATCTGTATTAATTAAGCAAATAACTTATCAATTATCTCATAATTAATTAACTAATATCCTGTGCTAGCAGAGCTGGGAGTGTTCCAGGGTGTGTTGGTAACATATTGCCTGCCCACAGCTGGATGGAGGGGGCACAGGGAGCCCAGGAGCCCCAGGCAGGGCTGGCACTGGGATGCCAGGAGTGGTGCCCACCTTGGCAAACCGTCTCATGTAGTGCCCCACAATCTGGGGGTCGGGGCACTCCAGCTTCTTGATGATCTCAAAGCTCTGGTTGAGCTGGGAGAAAACGTCCACCACGGAGCAGGAGAAGAGCGCGTGCTCCGAGGTCTGCTGGAACTGTAGGAGTGAGACAAGGTGTCAGCAGGATGTCAGGGGGAGATTTTGGCCCCAGCCAGGACATCCTGGGCATCAAGGGACAAGCCCCTCTCCTGTGAGACTGCTCCCCCAGCCCTGCTCATACCCCATCCTTCTTGTCCCGCTCCAGGGCTCCGTGCAGGAAATCCCGTGACACCTCTTCATTCTCATCCAGCCACTGGATGACAAAGGGCTCGAACCAGCTGCAAGAGAGAGCCAGCCGTGGTGAGGGCAGCAGCCCGGTGGTGGCAGTGCCCTCCCGGCCCAGGGCTGCACTCACGCGGGGTACTCGGGCACGCGGCTCTTGAAGGAGGGCAGCTCGGTGACATATTCATTGTACAGCCACTTCACCTTGAAGTGCAGGTTCATGTAGTCTGCGCTCTTGCACAGGCGGTGCTTCTCGTGCTCTGCACGGGGAAAGGGCCTGGGGCTCACTCTGAGTCCCAAATCTGGGCTGGGGCTCCCCAGGGGCAGCTCCAGGGTAAAGAGGTCGGGTGGGGGGGTAAGCTGTGCATGGTGTTGATGAGGAGATGAAATGGGTTTGACCAGGGACCAGGGGAGGTGGGAGCTGAGGACAGCTCCTGCCTGGTTCTCCTCTCCCTGGCTCAGGGTGGCAGGTGGGACTCACCCTCCATGGCATACTTCATGTCCTGAGCAAAGAGGTTCCACATCACCTCAGCGCTGATCTTCCCCACGTTCAGTTCCTGGGGGAACCTGGGGTGAGGGGGCAGTGTGAACCACAGAATTGTTTAGGGTGCAAAAGACCTCCAAGGCCATCGAGTCCAACCTGTGAATGATCCCCCCCTTGCCACCCAGCCCAGAGCACTGAGTGCCAGATCCAGCCTTTCCTTGGACACCTCCAGGGGTAGGGACTCCAAAGCTCCCTGGGCAGCCCCAGCCAATGCCTGACCACCCTTTCCATGAATTCTTCCTGATGTTCAACCTGAACCTCCCCAGCACAGCTCAAGGCCATGAACACAGGGTGAATGGGCCCTCCATGTGGACAGACATCCCTCACACACCTCACAGCAGCCTCAGCTTTCCCAGCTGTAGAATGGATGTTATAACCACTTCCAAAGGCCTCAAGATGCTACTGCCTCCACGTGGGCACCCTCTGTGGGCACAGCAGTGTCCCCTTCCCCAGCACCTACTCACTGGTTCAGGCAGGGTGTGTAGGAGTTCTTGTCTTCCTCAATAATGGAGACAATCAGGGTGATGAGCTTTGACCAGAAATCCAGGTTTTTGATGCTGGGGCCCTGCTCCTCGGGGGGCACCTCGCCTTTCTTAGTCTGGAGGGGCAGGGACACAGTGGAAAATCTGGTCACCCCAGTGCAGGGATCAACTTTGTGTTGGGGTTAACAAGGGAGCAGGAGGGAATACCCTGGAGGCCCCATGCAACCCCCTCTTGTTTGTCCTGATCTCAACCCCCCAGCTCAAACTCCTGGGGATCATTCTTGCACAGGACTGAGCACTCTGGAGAGGGAGCAGGAGCATGAATAAAGGAGAAGGGCACGGGATGGGGAGGTCAGTGCCCAGCATGCCCCTGCCCACGCACCGGGTCTGTCTGGTACTCGCGGCTGTAGAGCTCGTGGCAGTTGTTGAAGATGTACTCGTAGGTGGAGTTGAGACAGGCCTTCACACAGTCCTTCACCACCTGGCTGGCTCGTGGGGGGCTCTGCAGCTCCTGGACCTGGTGTGCAGAGTGGGCATGGTGTTTGGAGCACCCCCAGACCCCACCCAGCAGCACCACAGGCCAGAGCCATCCCAACCCGCAGAGAACCAGGGCCAAGGGGAGTCAGATCCCTGAGGGGCAGGGAGAGCAGGGCCCCAGCTGTACCTTCATCCGAAAGAAGGTGATGCTGGTCAGCAAATCCACTGTGGACTTCAGGTCCTGCAGCCGTTCGGGGCTGCTGGCAGGGAAGTTGTTCTGGAAGGGAAAGAGGGGAGTTGCCCTCCAAATTCACAAATGAGGGTGAGGGAGCAGCCACCTGGTGCCTCAGGTGGGGACACTGAGGCAGGGCTGGCACCTTACCCGGTACATGGAGAGGTCGATGCGCAGGGAGTTGTGCAGCTGGTCCAGGAGCTTCACAAAGCGATCTTTCTGTGGAGAGACACCCGGGGGCAGGTGAGCAGGGGAAAGGGGCAGGGACTGACCCCCACCCTCTGCTCTCTGCTCTCAGCTCAGCCCTCGCTCATCCCATCCCTTCCTTTCCTTCCTTCCTGCCTGCCTTCCTGCCTGCCCGCCTGCCTTCCTGCCTTCTTTCTGAGCCCTGAGTGGGCAGGACATGCCTGCAGAGAAGAGCATCTCCTTGCTGGTGGCTGGGGCTCACTCAAAGCCCTCAGCAGCTCCTGGGGCACATGTGGCCATGCCAGGTGAGGTTCAGGATGGAGAGGTGACACCACGTGTCCCCTGTCATTGCTGGGAGGCTGACAGGCTGCTCTGTCTGCCTTGCCCACTGGAACAACTCTGAGCCTGGGCTCAGGACAAGAGTTGGGAGAGGGGCTACAGGATCAGCAGCGCCTCGACTGGGGCTTTGCAAGAGCTCAGGGAAAAGGGCAGGGAAAGGATGTACAGTGGTTGTCCATCTTGAGAGTGGCCCCAGGAGCTGGACATTTCCATGACCCCTCATTCACCCCACTGGGCTGCATCAAGGGACATGGGCATGGAACACCCCATGTGGGGGGGTCTCCACTGGGGCTGAGGGGCTGTAGTTCAGCTCAGCCCAGCTCCCACCCAGGGAGCACAGGGCAGAAGGATGCAAATCCCATCTTGGGTTGTAGATTGGATCAGGGGTCACAGCTGATGGCAAAGCAACTCATGGGATGAGGTCCCAGACTGGTTTGGTTTGGAAGGGACCCTAAGGACCACCTTGTTCCACTCCCTGCCATGGGCAAGGACACCTTCCACTATCCCAGGTTGCTCCAAGCCCTGTCCAATCTAGTCTTGAACATTCCAGGGATGACAGCTACAGCTGCTCTCAGGTCAACCTCAGTCCTCACTCCCTCACAGGGAAGAATTTCTTCCCAGTATTGGCCCCAAAACGTTGTTGGGGAGCATTTCCCTTTGCATTCCTGCTGGTGGAGAGGCTCTGGACAGCCATGTGTGCCTGCCACGAGAGCCCTGGGCTGGCTCTCAGCACTGGCTGAACGGGTCAGGGCTGACCCACAGGGCTCTGCAGAGCCCTGGACAAGAGAACAGGGGTGGGAGGGGCAGTGATTCCATGGCTCAGCCATGGCCACAGCCTGTGCTGGCACTGCAAACCTCCGGGCCCTGGGCCGGGCCGTGTGTCCCCACACCCAGGAGTGGCTGCAGCACTCTAACACTGGACGCAACACAGCTGGGCACTTTAGCACCCAACCTTAGGCTCTCTAAAAAAGAGAAAGAGAGAAGTTTTTAAAATCCTCCATATTAGAGAAAAGGCTGGGTTTGGTTTCCTCCTGCTGCATGATCTGAGGCACAGCTCACTCCCCCTGCACCAGGAACAGCGAGGGGAGCCAAAGCTCTGTGATCCAGAGCTGTGCTTGGCCCTGGCTGTGTCCCTGGCTACCCAGCTGCACCCAGGGCTGGGCACTGACCCTGGCAGCCCCATGCACACCCAGAGTGACCGTTTCCTGCTTCTGGGGTGGCACTGAGGGAGCCCAGGTGAGGGCTCAGCCCCTCCTTGCCCACGTCCCCAAGGGGCACCCAGCCCCGCCAAAAAACCCCCCCCTTGGCACCCAGTGGTGCTGGCACAACCAGCTGAGTTTGCTGCCGGCTGGGGTCCCCCAAAGCACACGAGGCTGTGCAAGACCCCCCAGGCCCCCAGGAAGTGCAGGGGTGGGTCATGACCACATGCTTCTGATTTTGCCACCAAGGTGCCCTCTTCTCCTGGCACGCTACCACCCAGTTTGCTCAGGCTCCCATAATAAATAGGGGAGCAAATTTAGCCCTTCTCCTGGGAAGGTGGTGGCTCTTTTCCTTCCTGAAGTACAGAAGCGGGATGACTTTTGGGGCAAGCAGGGGCTGACCCCACTGCTGCCTGCCTGCAGTTTGGAGCGGGGTGTTTTGCACAGCTCGTTTTGCTTCCTGAGCCCCCCACCCCCTCCCAGAAAAAGGAGAGAAGAAGAAAAGAGCGTTTACTTACCATGGGACTCACACCGAAATTGGAGGCGGCGAATCGGTCGGAGGCATTGGCATTGCTGGAGGACGTGGTGTGAGCGTAGTAGGCGTTGATGTTGGCCAGCAGGGTGCTCATCACCGCCGGCACCCCGGGGCACATGTACTTGGAGGAGAGGCAGGCAAAATGCCTACGGAGAGAGGTGGTCATGGGAGGGTTTAGGGCCATGGGAGGGGATGCAGGGTTTGGGGTGTATAAGTCATTGAATCCCAGAGCATCCCAAATTGGAAGGGACCCTCAGGGATCATCAGTGCAGCCCTGTCCCTGCCCAGCCACCCCAACACCCCCACCCTGAGCACCCCTGGGAGCTCCTGCAGCTCTGGCAGCCTTGGCACCATTCCCTGGGCAGCCTGGGCAGTGCCCAGCAGCCTCGGGGGGCAGAACCTTGCCCTGAGCTCCATGCCAAGGCCTGGCACAGCTGCAGCCCTTGCTGGGCTCCTGTCCCTGTGCCAGAGCAGAGCTCAGCCCCTGCCCCTGTGCCTGCCCTGGGGAGGAGCTGCAGCCCCCGAGGAGCCTCCCCTCAGTCTCCTGGGCTGCAGCTGAACCAGCCAAGTGCCCTCAGCTGCTCCTCAGCCCTTCCCCAGCTCCGTGTCCCTCCTCTGGGCACTCTCCAACAGCTCTGGGTCCTTCTGATCTCGTGGTGCCCAAACTGGACACAGGACTTGAGATGAGGCTGTGCCAGAGAGCGTTGGGAAGGGGAAGGATGGGTGCAGAGGTTTGGGGCCAGTCTGCACCCATGGCAGGGAGGTGAGTGCCAATGGCAGCAGGAGAGGAAGATGGGGACAGTAACCCTCCACCTGGGGGGTGTGTGCAGCCCCTCTGAACCAGATGGGGGCACAGGACTCACGTCATGGCCTGGTAGATGGACTCCACCCCATAGCGCATGGCAAACTCATCCACGATCTCCTGTGCTGTCTCATCAAAGTAAACCTTCCACGCATCGTCCCCCTTGGCGTCGGGGATCTTCACCACGCCGTTGTTTTGCAAATCCGTCACAAAGTGGAACAGGTTCTGGAGGTACAAACGGGTCCTGTCAGCTCCCCAGGGCAGGTGGTGGCAGGGGGGCACTGCTGGGGAGGGGGCTGTGCCCCCTGTGCCTGTCTGGGCTGCTCACCTCATGCAGGCAGGTGTACTGGACATGGTAGGGAGCCACCTTCTCCTCACCCTTGATCTCCACGCTGATGTGCAGCCGGATGGCTCCTGACACTGCAGACTTGTCTGTGCGCTTGTCTGTGGGTGCAGGGAGAGGGAAGGGTGTGAGGCTTCCCTGGGGCAACCCTGCTCACTGCCAGCCCCAAAAAGGGGCACAGTGCTGTGGCACAGGGCCAGGGATGAGGGGACACCCAGCACGGTGTGCAGCCAGGCTAGGGTGGGATTTGGCCACATTTCCAGCTGCTAGAGACATGGCCTTTCTGTGCCTCAGTTTCCCTTCTGCAGGAGGCTGGTGCTCTAGAACCTCCTGGGCAGAGGGTTCTGAAAATGACTCTGGGAGAACACTTTATCCTGATGGCTTTTGATATTAAACGTTTCTAAGAGCAGACCCTGCTGCAATAGCCTTCAGCCTATGGCTGGCAGCATTTCCCCCTTGGAGCCCAAGGCAGGGGTCCCAGGCTGAGCAGGACATGGCACCCCTGATCCCAGGCCAGGGTCCCGGGCTGAGCAGGACATGGCACTCCCTGAGCCCAGGGCCAGGATCCCAGGCTGAGCAGGATATGGTACCCCTGATCCCAGGCCAGGGTCCCAGGCTGAGCAGGATGTGGCACCCTTGAGCCCAGGGTGAGGGTGCCAGACTGAGCAGGACATGGCACCCCTGATCCCAGGGTTAGGGTCCCAGGCTGAGCAGGACGTGGCACCCCCTGATCCCAGGCCAGGGTCCCAGGCTGTGCTGCTCACCAAGGTTGTACCAGACGTCCATCTCCCCGCTCAGGGTCCGGACCTCGATGATGGTCTGGCCCAGGAAGTCGTCGGATTCCCTCTTGAAGCGCTGCTTGACGCGGGACTTGATGTCATCATCCTCGTCCCACACACGGACCTTGATGCGGTCAGAGGAGTTGTGGCACTCGCTGCAGAGGTGACAAAGGCCCCAGCATGAGCAGTGAAACCTTTCCAGCTACTCCCCATCACTGCTTCCCTGAACAAAAGGGACTAGCACGGAGCAGGAACTGGGGAAGAGAGCAGATGTGGGGGCACCAATCCCCTCCCAGCAGCTCTGTGCCACACCCAGGCAGCCCCTGGAGTCACACCCTCATGGCACAAAACAGAACCCCAAGGGACCCCAGCACCTCAGTGGGGGCAGGATGAGGCCCAGCTGGCTCCCCCCACCCTACTGGGACATGGCAAGAGCCAGCACAGCCTGGCACAAGTGGTCAGGAAGGGGAATGGGGAGATCGGGGGTGAACTTACAAATGGAAATTCTCCTCCCAGACTGGGTTGAGGTTGCCGTAGATAGTTTTAGTCCTTTTTTTGGTCTTTCCAACCTGGACAGTGACATAGGGGTCACTGGAACCTGTCTTATCCTTTGCTTGCAGGCCCTGGGCACACACCACTGCAGCACAGCACAGCATGGCAGAGAGAACAGACAGAGAGAAGTCAGTGCCACAGCCACAGGAAAATCCCTGAAACAGACACCTGTGTCCCCCCAGGGGCTGAAGCTGCCTGGCAGAATGAGGGGTTGGGCAGTGGGGACATTCCCACAGTCCCCAAGGCTGACAGGCTGCCTACCTGTGATGCTGATCTTGGCTGACCATTTGGAGGTGCCATCCAGGACACTCTGCTTGACTGCCTTCATCTGCTGTGTGTGCGTGGTCTTGTTGACCCCAAACACCTCCTGGATCAGCTCAAATATCTCTGGTTTGTTGCGCTCCCGGATCTTCATGCGGTCCTTGAGCACCATGATGATGTTCTGGGTCCGGTCCTCTGCCCCATGCTTGGAGCTCTTCTCTGCTGCTCCTGGGAGAGGACAGGCATGGGTGAGATGGGCTGGGGGGCTGCTGCTGCCCAGGAGAGAAACAAGAGATCTCATAGGTTGGCATGGTGGGCTTGGGGACAAGGACAGGAGGAAATGGCCTCAACCAGGGAAGGTTTATGTTGGGTATCAGAGGAAACTTCTTCCCCAAAAGTGCTGTCCAGCCCTGGGCCAGGCTGCCCAGGCAGTGGTGGAGTCACCCCTGGAAGTGTGCAAAAAACACGTGGCTGTGGCACTTGAGGACACTGTTTAGTGGTGACCACAAGGGTGCTGAGATGATGGTTGCTCATAATCTTAAAGGTTGCTGATAATCTTAAAGGTCCTTTCCAGCGTTAACAATTCCACAATTCTACAATTCCATGCATGAATTAATCCAAACCTGAAGGGTTCTACCCCCTGCCCAGGATGAGTCTGCTCTGCCCACCATTTCTCCCATGCCCAAGTCAGGAGTGGAGTCTCTGGGTTGCTCCCTCCTCCCTCTGCAAGGTGAGAAGGGACAAGGGAGAAGGGACAAGGGAGAAGGGACAAGGCTGTGGGCCCCAGGTCCTTACTCTGCAGGCAGTCGGCGTTGAGCAGGTCCTGGCACTTCTCGTGGCACTTGACGCCGCACTCGGCGCAGCGCATGCCCTGGCGGGCAATGCCCCACAGCAGCCCCTCACACTCGTAGCAGTACGTGGGCGTGGTGGCCGTCCACACCTCGAAGTTGTGGGGCGTTGTGCAGGAGATGGGGTACACTAAGGCTTGCAGGGTCTTCTTGTAAACATGGTTTTTCTGTGCAGGGACAGGGGAGAGAGGGGGAGAAACGCTGAAGCAGGGCAGAGGATGCACTTGGGGACATTGATTTCATGGTGGTGGTGCTGGGCTGACAGTCAGACTTGATGATCCTTTGGTCCTTTCCAACCCTAATGATCCCATGATTCTATCCCCAGGTGCTGCCATGAGCACCCTGGATGCTCAAGAATCACCAGAGGGTGCTGGTGGGGCACAGACTCTGCACCTCCACTGCTGGCCCAGCCCCCCAGGCCCAGTTTCCCCCTCCCCACCATGCCCAGCCCAGCCCACCCCAGCACCTACCAGCTCCTCATTGTTCAAGGTGCTCGAGGCCAGCGCGGATGTGATTCCCGCTTTCCTGGACTGGACCAGGGACTGTGGGAAAGAAAGAGAGTTCCCAGATCCAGCAGACCATGAGAGCTCCCTCCTACAGCCCCAGAGCTGTGAAACAGCCAGGACAGACCCCAAACCCAGACAGGGAAGGGTCCTGGCTGCATGGGGGGCAGTGGGGACAGCCCGGCCCCCATTGCTGTGCAGTGGGACTGGAACCAGGGCAGCAGCCTGTGACATTCCCAGTTCAGCAGCCTGTGACATTCCCAGTTCAGCTCCAGTGGGGCAGAGCCTCTCCCCACGTGTCTGAGACCCCTGGGGAGATGGGGTGGGGGGCACTTACCATGGCCTGTGGGCAGCCAGGGCCAGCGAGGGGGGAATAAGAAGCCATTAGTGCAAACACTTCCCAGGAGAGCCCCTTCCCTGCCAGAACCAGTGGGAATTGGGGGAACACCCCTCACCCAGCACTGAGCAGTCTGTGGTGGGGGCACTGTGTCCCCAAACCACAGCACTGGCTGCAGCCTGCAAATCCCAGCAGGGAAAGGCAGCAGAACCCCCAAACCCCACACACTGCCCACCCCATCACCCCCCACCCCCAAAACACCAACACAGCACAGTGCAGAAGCATCAGCAGCTGCCCAAGAGGGCTGGGGTGGGGCACCAAGTTGGGCACAGCAAGGGGGTGGGGGAATGTGGGGACACAGGTTGGGAACAGGAGGGTGGCACCCCAGGGAGGGCACACAGTGGAGATGACAAGGTGTAAAGAGAGGGGAAGGAGGGGAAGGGCACCTAATTCTTGGGGACAGGGTGTCTTTGTTTCCAAAATTGCTGTCTCTTGTCACCAGGAGTGGGAGGGGACCAGCAGAGTGACTCTGTGCAATTGAACCCAGGGACTGGAGGGGACCCCATCATGGGGGGCCCATACACTGGGGGTCTCCAGCCCCTTACATGGGACAGTAGGGACAGGAGCACAGGGTCTGGGCAGCTTGGAAAAGCCATTGCCAGCCCTCCCCTGGTACCGGGGTCGGTCTGTCTGTCCAGCACCAGCGTGGCCCAAGCTGCAGGGACAGCTTGGCACGGCAGCTGGGACACAAAGGGACCAGGGATACAGCACCAGTAAAAGAATTGGGAAACCAGATTTAGCCCTGGGAAACCTTAGGCTGATGCTTGGGGTAGGGACCAGAGCTCCGTTAAAGAGAAGCACCCTCGGGTAGGGAGAGCCCAGCTCCCCACTGCAGGGAGGGCCAGGAGCCCCCCGGGCAGTGCGGGACGCCCCCTTTGGCAGGGCTGGGGGCAGGGGCTGGCGGCAGCCCCAGGGCGCTGTCTCTTTAACCCCTCGCACCGCGCTCACCAGATCGCTGACTAGAGGGAGAGATTTGCGTCCAGGCTTAATGTCGGGCATGCTGTTAATGCAGCGCAGAAACCTTACAGCCGCCCCCCTGCCGCAGGGAAGGCCCAGCCAGGCCACAGGAAAGAAAACAGAGAACACAAGCCATGTTAGAGGCAGCTGGGGAGCGGGGCGCAGTCCGGTGGGGCAGCAGGAGCGAAGCTGGCAGCTGTGGGGGCGTGCCTTGGGAGGAACCTCACCAAATCGCTAACTAGGGGGATGGGTTTTCGCTTGCGAATGTCCGGCATGCTGTCTATAATGATCAGCCCGCCACCAGGCCTGCAAGAGAGAGGAGAGTCAGCGGGCAGGGGGAAACTGAGGCATGAAGGGGCCCCCTGCTGTTGCCCACGGTCACTCAGCATTCAGAGAACCATGGTTTGAGTTGGAAGGGACCTTGAAGCCCATCTCGTTCCATGCCCTGCTGAGGGCAGGGACACTTTCCACTAGATCAGGTTGCCAACCTGGCCTTGGATGCTTCCAGGGACGGGGCAGCCACAGCTGCTCTGAACAATCTGTGCCAGGGCCTCAGCACCCTCACAGGGAAGGATTTCTTCTCAATATCTAGGATTTGGTGAATATGACTGCAAAGCACCCTGAGTGGCCAGGGACCCACCCATGGGATCCCCATCCCCACCACCACCCCAGCCAGGGTAGGGATCACTGAACTAAAAACTAAGGGGAAAGGGATTTTGGTAAAAAACTGTGATTTTTCCCCACATGGAGCTTAACCATGAAGTGAAACCCAGGAGAAAAACTGCCCATTTGGCTTAGTCAGCTGTGGCTTTGCAGTGTGAGGCTGGAGAGCTGGGGTTCTCTCTGGGACCCCAAAAGGGAGCACTGAGCAGGTGAGCCTCAGGTTTTGCTGCAAGGGAACCCAAGGCAGGAATGGAACTTCACAGCCCTGCTGGAAAGAAACCCCTGGAGTGATCTGAGGGTTCTCAGGCAACCTACCAGGCTCTGCCCAGGTCCATGGCAGGGCTGTCTGCGAGGGCAAGACAGGACTGGGAGCTCCAGCCCGTCCAGGTGAGAGGCTCTGCATTCCCCATGACACCACTCCATGGGGGAAGCAGGAGTTGCCACCCCTCCTCATCCCCATCTCCACTCACCCCCTCGCTCTCCCCCTCAGCAGCAGCTCTTGGGGTCACAGAGCAATGTCCTGACTGCTGGCTGCTCCAAAAGCACTGACCAGCCCCAAAATCCAGCTCCAAAAGACTGGCCCCCCTGAATGCCCACAGCCTGGCAATCCTTCCCCACACAAGCTCATTAATCACATCCTAATGAGGAAGGGGGGCAGAGTGTACCCAGCTTCCCCTTGTACTCACCCGCCTTTGAACCACAGGGATTTTTCTCCATCACCTTCCCCGCGGGCCTGGAAAACAAGGGACAGTGTGAGGGCACAGCAAGAGCCACCAGCGTGGGGACAGCCCCCCAGGGCAGTGAATGCTCACAGAATGAGCAGGGTGGGCAGAGAAAGGTGTGCTCCAAAACCAAGGGGGCTCTTCCCAGCACTGGGAATAAATCTCTTCAGGAGGCTGAGCCGGGTGAGCAAGTGGGTGGGCTCAGCAAAGGGGATGAGGGTGGCAAAGCAGGGGGCATGGCTACACTGTGTGAAAATTCAGGGCTTGGGGAAGTGAAGAAACACCACAAAAGCTCAGCAGGTCCTCAGGGACCCACAGCAGTTGGAAAGAAGAGCAGGGAAAAGCCAGAGCACATGGAAGAGGGTGTGTGTGCAGGGATCATCCAGCAGTGCCAGCCACCCCTGCAGGCAGGGGATTATTTTGGAGGAGAAGGGCAGAGAGACACCATTACCCTCCTTCATGGGCAATCCCTGAGCACACACACACACACACACAGGGAAGGCACACACAGCGCTGGGAGGTTCCAGGTGCACATGCTTACCTGCAGGCAGGCTACACCCCTTCCCTGCAGGGAGGGGAGACGCGGGTGCAAGGGCCATGGTGGTGGACAACTGAAAAGAGAAGCGGTGGGGAGAGGGACCAAGACCCCAGGGAGCGAATCCAGAGCCAAAACAAAAAGAAAAGATGGAGGATGGAGTCTAAAAACAAAACAAAATATTGTCAACTCAACAGAGGGGAGAGGGCCTGGGATGACGCACCAGCACACGCATGCAGCACACACGGGGGATCCTCAGCACTCCCGGCCCCTCTGGGGCAGCCCACTTGGTGCCAGTGGGGTTCTGGGCACCACTGTTGGCACCACCGAGTCTGTGGATGTCCCTGGGAGCTGCCCAGGTGTGGAAAGGGGCTGTGCCCCCAGCCCTGAGCCGTGGCACTGGCCAGGGGTCCTCACCTCCTGCAGCTGCATGCAGACCTTGTTGAAGGCTCTCAGCCAGTTGGCTTTGGCTCGTGCTTTGGGGTCCTGCACCTCCTCCTCTGCCGGCTCCCTGCAAGCACACACATCCCCTGTCACCTCCCAGCACAGCACCAGGAGCAGCCCCCACACCCCAGCAGGTCTGAGGCTGCAACTGGGGGATCCTGATGTGCCTTGAGACAGCGTGGCCATGGCAAAACTGGCTCCTGGTACCAGGAAGGACTGAAAAGGCAGCAGGTCCTGCTGCAAAGGGCAGCCACAACCAGGGCAGAGCACTGGGGAGAAGCCAGAAGCTTCCTCACCCTCAGGAGACCCTGCCCTGGGCACCCAAGTGACACAGAGGGCACAGCTGGTGACACCAGCATGTGAATTAAACACCCTTTGTCCCCATTGCCCCCACAATGTCCTCTGGCCGCCTCCCTGGGTAAAGAGCACCCAACACCCCGTGGTTCCAAGCCCAGGGAAAGGTATCTGCCTGAACATGCTGGGTATTGTGGGGTTTGTTCTCCTCTCCTACAAAATCAAGACAATGGAAGAAAAGCAAAGAAATGCTCCAAACATACCAGTGTCCTGGAGAGCCTGGTGTGATGCAACAGGGAGGGAGGAACCCAGAACTGCTCTGGGAAGAGGCCATGGGCACTCAGGAGATGAACCTAGGGGCTCTGTATGTGCTAATCTGGGATCCTCAGAGCAAACCTGGGATCCTCAGCATTAACCTGTGGTTCTCAGCAGTAATCCACAGTCCCCAGTGCTACTCTGGGGGTCCCAAAAGATAATTTGGGGTCATCAGTGCTAATTTGAGGCCCTCAGCACTAATATGGGGGTCCCAACACAATCTGGGGTTCTCAGCACAATCCATGGTCCCCAGCACTAATCCACAGTGCCCAAATCCTAGCACAGGACCCCTAAGTCCCCTGCCCAGGGGGTACTGCAGGAAAAACCTGGATATTTAGCCCTCAGGTTCCTGCTAGGTCTTGGGCCTAAATATCCAGGTTTTTTAAAACCAGCTCATTACACATTGGTTTAAATTTGAGATTCTCCATTCCTGGTGTGTAATTTAAACTAAATAAAAAGCTGAAAAAGCCCATCACAGCAGTTCACCTCTGCACAGAGCAGTGACACTCACTGAAAATGGAAATGATCAATAATGATATTTGAATAATCTGTCCCCAAGACATGAATTATTCACATGCTGCACCAGGAACCTGACCACCAATTAATTCACTTGTACAGCACAGGAGGCCATGGATGAGCTTCTACCAGGCCTAGGGAGAGGACTGACTTCTGTAAAGGAAATCTCCTCCTCTGACCAAGCTCCACCAGGGTGCCAAGAGCCTGTGCCAGAGGAGAGCAATCACAGCCCTGAGATCCCATTCCCCCAGCCCCATGCTTGTCCCAGGTTATAAACCTGCAGCCCCAGCAGGTTCCTGAACACCTTGAGCCCTGCCCAGCACAGGGGGTGGCTGGGCCCAGGCAGTGTGCCCGGGGTGCTGGCTCTTGCCTGGGTGGCACAAGGGGGGCTTCCCCCACCTCGGTGGCTCAGGCACCTGGAAAAGCTCCAGACACAGCAGAAGGTCCCTGCTCCTGTGCCAAGCACCAGCACCATCCCTGAGCCACCTCCAGAGCACCCTCAGTGCCTGCAGGCACAGTGCCATCCCAGGGACACCACAGCTTCCCCTCCTACCTCTCAGCTGGTTTTGGGGGCTCAGTCTCTGGGGCTGCCTCTTGCAGGGGAACTTCCTCCTCTGCCTGCTGGGCCTGGAGGGCCTCAGGGGCTTCCTGGGGAGCAGAGGTGTCCTTCTCCTCCTTCCTTTCCTCTTTCCTCTCCTCCTTCCTCTCTTCCTTCCTTTCCTGCTGCTGAGGTTTCTGCTGTGGGACCAGCTGAGCTTGCTGCTGCTGCTGCTGTTGCTGTTGCTGTTGCTGCTGCTGCAGGACCTGTTGCTGCTGCTGCTGCTGCTGCTGCTGTGGCTGCTGTGGCAGGGGTTTCTGTGGTGGTGGGTACGTTTCATGCTCAGAGGGTTCATAGGTGTCCTGCTCCCGCAGCTCCTCCTCCTCCTCCTCTTCCAACTCCTCTTCCTTGGGGTAGCCTTCCTCAGTCTCACTGTAGTCCTCAATGAACTCTTCCTCCTCTTCCTCCAGGTAGAGATCATCATCATCCTCCTCCTCCCAGCGGGGGGAGTCCTTGCGGTAGCTGACGGAGCTGTGGCAGGAGTGGTAGGAGTCGCCGTCCCTCTCGTCCAGCTCCGAGTCCCGCAGGCTCTCGTTCTCGAAGTCCTCGCTCAGCTGGGAGCTGCCCTGGCTCAGCTCGGCCGACGAGGCGTAGCGGCTGCTGCCTGTGGGGCTGGGGGCCGAGGGGACACAAGGACAGGGCTCCCGTGGGTCTGTGGCACCCAGGCAGAGCCCCAGGCCCTGCCCCAGGGGCGGGAGGATGTGCAGCTCCCATCGGGAGCCGAAGGCACAGAACCAGGAGACTCCATCGGCTGAACCAGCCCCCCAGGAGGGGCACTCTGAGCCCCCTGCCCGTGCCTGGGCTGACAGTGGGGATGGGCTGACAGTGTCTTTCTCCTGGGCTCACCCCAGCCAGGGGTGCCAGATCCTGCCTCCTGTTGCTGCCAGACACCCTGTCCTGCCCCTGACACACAGATCTGTCACCCGTGCTCTGCACAGCCCTCCCAGGCACCCCACCCCAGGACACCCCCTCAACCCCCTCACTCCCCTTGACACCATCCCTACCTGGGGGCCCCTCTCTGCCCTTG